AGGTCCTCCTTGCGGAGCTCGATCGCCTCGGACGGCCTGAGATAGCCGTCCCAGGCCAGCGCGGCGAAGAACCCGACGAGGTGCAGCTCGTGCTGGATGAAGAAGTCGACGAACAGCCAAATCATCTCCTCGCACGGTGGGTCCCTCGACTTCTCTGGCGCTCTTCGAGAGAACGCGCGCAGCGTGGCCTTGGCAAGAGCACAGCAGCTGGGGGCTTTGATCGGGAAGTCCAATGTCCAGGCAACGCCGTAGAGGGCATAGCGGGCAGCGCTCACTGCAGCGCCGTCCAAGAAGAGGAACTCCATGTACTCGACGAGGAGCTTGTCCCACTGCACCACGTCGGTGACGGCTGGGACAGCGCGGGCGAAGCGGACCACGGCGGCGTAGCAGTCACGATAGCGCTGCTGCGTCGTAGGGCCCACCGCCAGGCGACGTAGAAACCCAGGCCCCTCTTCAGCGTGGTGCCGGCGTCGCTGACCTGCAGCGCGGCGTTCGGCTGCGGCCAGGCCCCTGGCGGTCAGCGAGGGCGCCCAGCTCCCGCTTGAGCGGCTGCCCGTTTCAGTACCCGTCTGCTGACTCCCACCCGAGCGTGGCCTTGGCCGGGAGGGGTGCCACCTGGACGAAGTGGTTGACCTTCTGGCCGAGGCGGGCTGCCAAGTGCTCCTCCCGCCGCTGGTCGACGCGGGACTCGCCCGCCTTCCCCCGGGCGGCTGGCGGAGCGGCATCCCACAGCACTCCCGCCAGGCGGCGGCAAAACTGAGGAAGGTAAGCCGAAGCGAAAGACGTCCTCCACCGCCAGCGAGCCGGTGACGTCGCCGTGGCTGGGAGGTGAACCGACCCTTGCAGCGCGAGGTGTCGCGCATGCCCGGGGCGCCTGGCCTCCGTGCGCTCAAGGCCCTGCAGGTTGCCCACGAGCAGAGTCGGCTTCTTCCATGCTGCGCCGAAGGCACACATGTCCAGCCCCGCGCGAACGGCAGCAGCACGCCTTAGCAGGCGCTCCAGCGGCGGCCAGCTCCAGAGGTGGCTCGACCGAGGGTTCTCGATGACGAACTGAGCGCCAGCGCCCAGGCAGGCCCGCACCACTCGACGCGAAAACTTGGCGCAGGCGAGACCGGAGGCCGACGCGGCCGAGTCCGCCATCTCGCCACCTCGCCTAGCAGCGCTCCAGCGCGTGCAGGGGGTCCCCGGGGCGACAGCCCAGATCGAGCCGCACAGGATCCACTGCGCGATGGTGTCCGCGACCGGGGCCCTGGTGACGTCGAAGTAGTCTGCGTTGATGTGGTCGACTGGAGCAGTACAGCGTAGCCCGCCGCCCAGGGCTCCAGCGGTGAGGCGGCAGCGCCCAGCGAAGAGCTCGAGGAAGTAAACCTCACCGCGCTGTCTGAGCCCGCGGTGGCGAAGGCGGCGAGCTGCGCTCCCCGCCGCGGCCAGCTGCGGGCTGTCGCGCACGGCCTCTTCGCCCGCCTCAGGCGCCCGAGGGGTCGGCGACCTTTCCCTGCTCCGAGCGGGGTCCAGGAGGTCGCCGCGGTCCTCGCAGGGCTCCTTGGCGAGTCGCCAGCGGCGAGCGGCGGCTGAGAGCGGCTCGGCGGGCGTCGAGGGCTCCTCGGCGCGGGCGAGCGGGCGGCCCAGGCGGCCAACGTCTCGAAGTTCAGCAGCCCGGCCCTGCACGCTCTGACCTGTCCCGCGCCACCGCAACCTGGAGTCGAAGTCCGAGGGGTTGCGGTCGGTGCGGATGTGCCTCCGCGCCCGCCGCACGTTGGCAGCGATCTGCCATGCGGTTCCCCGTCGGAGCAGCGCCGGCAGCTCCCAGGCTCGAGCTCGTCCGCGATCGCAGGCGAGGATCTCAGACATGTTGTCCCCAAGGGAGAGCAGCGCGGTGTTGTGCTTCGCGCCGTTTCTGCAGTGGTCGGCGAGCCCCATGAGCGCTGCGCGTGCCTCCAGGTTGTGGATCTTATCAGGGCGCTTCCAGCTCCCAGCTCGGATGCATCTCCAGCGTTCGGGGAGATCCCATTCATGGCCGAGAGCAGGCACCAAACCAACGACCTCCACGACATCGTCCAGCTGCGACTCACTCGGGATGGCGGCGGCGCGCGACTCCCGCAGCCGACCCAGCTCCTGATCCACCTCGCGGGCGGCCCAGGCGCTGAACGTCCCCCCGCCCGTCTCCAGCTCGGGGGTCTCGTCGGGCAGGGCGCCGGCACCGCAGTCGTTCTCGTGCTCGTCCCCCAGCTCCCTGAATCTCCAGCGCTCGCGGTAGATGGCCGCAGCCCAGGCCCCCCGAGGGCTCGCCCTCGTGATGTGGACGGCGTACACATGCGAGCTCGAGTCGCTGCAGTAGACGTGCTCCGCAATGGGGCGGCCGAGGTCCGAGACGGCGAGGGGCGGGGGGCCCCTGATGAGCCTGACCTCGGCGAGCTCGTTGGCGTCAAACTCCCCCCGCTCTCCGCGGCCATCCCCGATAAACAATTGCAGGTACTGCAGAGTCGAGAGCAGCTCCCGCCTGGTCGAGAAGTGGTCGACGACGTGCCCAACCACCCGCTTGACGATGCCAGGGGCGGAGCCCTTGGTGAACTCGAGCTCGCGGAGGGCGCGCCGCAGCCGCCGCGCGCGCGACGGCCGGGGAGCGAGTGACCGTCTCGTTCTTTCGATCCGCCTGCCCACCAGCTCCAGCTACGTGGTCGGGTCGACGTTCTCGTGAGTGACGAAACCCATGGCGTGCAGCTCCTCCGAGAGCGCCTCGTGGAGCGCGGCGGTCGCCTCGAGCGAGCCCCCAGCGACGTTCCCGTTGTCGACGTAGGGCGCCGCCGCGGCAAACCCAGGGCCGAAAGCAGGGCTGGGGCGCCAGTCGGCCAGCGGCTCGGCGCCGCGCCCGACCATGCGCGTCGCTCGGCGCCCAGCCTCCTCCAGCGCGCTGTGGCAGAAGAAGAGCGCCCAGGACCAGCCCATGGCGAGCCCGCCAAAGCAGGCCCACAGCTGGTCGTCAGGGCAGACGGGCTCCATCCTCGCGGCGTCCTCGTCGTAGACAGCCGCGACGTTGAGCTCCCTCGCGGCGTAGATCTCGTCCAGGAAGAACCGCGACGCCATGGAGGGAAGCCCGAACTGGTAGAAAGCGTCCTTGAGGTCGACCCTGGCCCCCGAGATGCAGACCCCGCCATCCTCCTTCCCGAGGGCGCCACCTGGCCCGGGGAAAACCCCAAGCTGGGAAGAGTCCTCGGCACATAATTCGAACCACTGGTCACTGAGGTTAAGGCAGCTGAGAGCACCAGGAGTAGCCAGACGGGACTTCGGCGGCCTCTTGTGGAGCTCGTTGACTGGTCTGGCATCCAACGCGAAGCGGATCGCGTCCTTATCTTTCTTCTTGACAAAGAACATGCCCACGCGCCCGAGCCGACGCCGTCTATAGGCGATGAGCCCAACGACATCGAGTCGTCGAATGAGGTCACGTCGGCGTGGGCCTGGCTGTCGAAGAGAAGGGTCCCAGTGTGGCTGGATCGGCTCGGTGATCGCAGCTCTGGCGGCGGCGTCGAGGGCGATCTTGGAGTTCGGGTTGTCGAGGTACTCCCGCGCGTAGTCGCCGACGAGCTCCCTGGCGTCGATGGGCCGCGTGCGACCTTCGAGTACCTTGAGCTTGCTCGGGGCTTACCTCGCAGAGGTCGAAGTGCCCCCCACGTCGTAGATGGATGAGGACCGCACCAACTCAGCCAAAGCGCCTCCCTCGATGGAGGAGTTCGGGATCGGCGGGTCGAAGAGCTTGACCATCCTGGCAATGTTGGCGAGCATGGGCCGTTGGCAATCCGACCGCTCATGCCCGGGAACGCGGCGGGGCAATGCAATCCGCGCCCCCTGGCCCGCCCTGGAGTCGGCGAGCGCATTGAGCGAGGCGACGGCGTCGGCCGCCAGCGTCTCGACGCGCTCGCGCCTGGCCCTCCGGCGACCGGCCTCCCGACTGGCAGGCCGTGCTTCCCGCGCGCGCTCGGCGGCGAGCGGCGGCGGGAAAGGCGACGGCGAGGGCGGCGCCGAGCCGCCCCCCTCACCAGCGCAGGGCTCAGCGCCAAGCTCAGCGCCAGCCCGAGCCACCATGGTGCTGCGGCAGCTAGCTCTTGTCCTTCCCCCTTCCCCCTCATCTTGGCTGCCCGCTTCTCCTCCTCCTCGGCGTGTAAGCGCTGCTGCTTGAGTGCGTATGCGTGTGTCCGCTGTTCCTCCGCCACGTACCTCGCGAAGTCCCCGACGAGGACGCCCCCCGCCGAGTCCAGCTTCGAGGCGACCGTGACCGTCGTGCCCTTGGAGTCCGGCGCCTTCGGGTTCCTCTTGACCGCTGTGTGGATCTGCAAGACCAGCCTGGCAGCATGTTCCGCCCCAGCAAGCTCTCCCAGGTTGAGCTGGTCGACATTGCAGAGGTGGAGAAGCGTCGTCAGCAGGTCGCGATGCTTGTAGCTGATCTGGCTGTCGGGCCCGACGCCGCTGCTCCGAACCCAGTAGTCGTGGAACCCTCCCAGCTCTTCTCCTGAGGCCCGCACAGCGTGAAGAAGCTCCTTCACCGCCGAGGGCCCCCTCGAACGGCCAGTCCGCATCCAGCTTCTTGGGGTCGATCCGGCTCATCTCCCCCATGGCGGACCTGAGCGACCGATAGCGATCTCCCGTCGAGTCGCGCTCCACTAGAAGGATCCTCGGATCGCGCCCTGGCCCTGTCCTCTTCTCCTCCTTCCACTCGTCCACGTGCTCTGGCGCGAGCCGCTCCGCGGTGGTCCACGGGGTCTCGCCATCCTCCTCGACCCTCGCCAGCGCGGTAACGTCCCGCGAGACGAAGGTGTTCGGGCTGGCAATCACTCCTGAGTCGATGACCTCCCCGAACTTCGCAAACGCCGTGTCGGCGAACCTCCACTCGGCGGCCGAGGCCGCGGCGGCTGGGACCGCGACGGCTGCGCCATGAATCAGAGCCAGCGCCCCGCACTCCCGTCTGATCTCCGCCAGCTGCTGGTCCGTGAGTGCATCGGGGCCGTAGTAGCTCGCCCTCACGCGCGCGGGCACAGGCTGCCCCCGCGTCAGTGGGATGACGTGGAGCTCCGACAGGTCGACGATCTGCGTGTGCAGGTCGGGAGTGGCTCCTGCCCATCGGGCATCCGCGATCCTGACCACCAGCATCCGCCAATGGTACTCGAAGTTCGGGTCGTGTCGAAACCTCACCTCTGCGGGGGCCTCTTAGAAAGAGTTTTGAAGTCTTTCGGGTGCCGTCTTGGGGCCTCTTGGTGCCTTTTTTGGGCCTCTTGGGGCCTGTTGGGGGCTTCCTGGGGGCCTGTTGGGGCCTCTTGGGGGCTTCCTGGGGGCCTCTTGGGGCCTCTTAGGGGCATCTTGGGGCGGAGAGCTTGATTTCTCAGTTTGCTTTCCCTCTCTTGGGCCCCTCTTGGGGCCTACTTGGGACCATCTCTGGGGCCGTCTCGGGGCTCTTTTGGGCCGTCTTGGGGCCCTCTTGGGGGCCTCGTGGGCCGTTTTGGAACGGTTTTGGGCGTCTCTTGGGCGGTGCTTGAGCGCCAGAAACACGAAACGGCGAGAATGCAAAAAAACATTCGAAACAAGCACAATGAAAATCAACGATTGTGCCCTCTCGGGGCGCTCTTGGGCGGCATCTTAACAGGCCTCTCGGAGCGTCTTGGGGGCCTCCGGGGCAGTTTAAAACGCATCGTGCGTCGCCAAAGACCCCTGGACGGCGTCTTGGGGGTGTCTCGAGACCGTCTGGGGCACCCTGGTTTGCTGTCTAAGGGCTCCCCGGGGCGATTTTAGGCCTCCTGGAGGCGGGCCCGGGCCCCAAGACCCACATTTGCGGTCGAGGTTCCGGCCCTCGGTCCCCGGGCCTGGTGCGCCTTTATATGTATGCTAGAACCATCGCGCGCGCTTCGCGCGCGCTCAAGTTCTAGCCCAGGCCGGGGGGGCGCTGGAAGATCTTGGACAGCGCTATCAAGCACAGGCGCGTGACATAGTCGTGCCTCCTGATGGCCTCTTGGGGACTCCTTGGGTCTTCGTGGGGGCATCTGAAGGGCTTCTGGGGGGTTCTCCGTGCTTCCTCAACTCGCTGTTGGAGGCATCTCGTGGGTGCTTCTTGGGGCTTCTTGGGGTCCCTTCTTGGGAGCATCGTCGGGGTTCTCCGGGCAGTCGGAAGGTGATGTTCTGCAATCTGAAGCCGTCATTGGCCGTCTTGGCTGCGTGGAGACCCGACTTGAGGGCGCCTGGGGCCACGCTGAAGCAATCCGGAAGCCTCCCGGGGGCCTCCTGCAGACAGTTTTGATGCATCGAGGGCGCTGCTGGGCAATCTTGGGGCCCCTTGTACGTCTCCTTGGGGCCTTTTGGAAGGCTTATTGCGGCCTCGTCGGACCACTTGGGGACTCTTGGGGCCTTCTCTGGGCTTTTAGGGCGGAAGACTCTGCTGTTGGTTTCGCGCTCACATTCTTGGGCCTCCTTGGGCGCCTCAGGCACTGTATTGGGGCCTCGTGGGCCGTCTTGGGGCCCTCTTGGAAGCCTCTTCGGCTTTCGTGGAACGGTCTTGGGGCCTCTTGGGCCGTCTTGGAGCGTCGGGATGCCAAAAGGCTGAAACGCTAAAGTGGACCAATTACGTTACCGAGGAACCCCACATACTGATGTTTAATCTTATGTGTTTGCTTGCCGTTCTCATCTATGCGCAATCCTGCGTTCTAAACCCTCGTCGCGAATCGTCGTCGTACTTGTCGTACTCGTCGTCGTACTCGTCGTACTCGTCGTCGTACTCGTTGCCGTTCTATCGTCTTACTCGTCATCGTACTCGTCGTCGTACCTCGCCATCGTACTCGTCTTCGCATTCGTCGTCGTGCTCGTCGCACTCGTCGTCGCACTCGTCGTCGTCGTCGTACTCGTTGTACTCGTAGTGCTCGTCGTACTCGTCGCCGCACTCGTGGTCATCGTCGTCGTCGTCGTCCTCCTCCTCCTCCTCGTCCCACCCAATCCTCTCAACTCCTCCGCACTCCTCTCAATTCCTCCGCACTTCCCTCAACTCCTCCGCACTCCTCTCAACTCATCCTCTCACCTCCTTCTGTACTCATCCTTCTGCACTCCTCCGCACTCCTCTCAACTCCTCCTCCCAACTCCTCCACTCTCGTTTCGACACCTCCACACTCCTCTCAAATCCCCCGCGCTCCTCTGAACTCCTCCGCCCTCCTCTCAACTCCTCCTCCTCGCAACTCCTCCGCACTCCTCTCAACTCCTCCTCCTCCTCCTCCTCCTCCTCCTCCTCCTCCTCCTCCTCCTCCTCCTCCTCCTCCTCCTCCTCCTCCTCCTCTCAAGTCCTCCGCATTCCTCGGGAGGGGAGGGGAGGGAATGGAGGGAGGGAGTGGAGGGAGGGGAAGGAGGGAATGGAGGGAGGGGAATGGTGGTCGTTGTCGTCGTCTTCGTCGTAGTCGTCGTCGACGTCGTCGTCGTCGTCGTGGTCGTCGTCGTCGTCGCCCCCTCGATCGAAATCGTTTTAAAATCAATCTC